ATCTCGTTAGATACAAATCTCCAAGTCTCCCTGAGTTTCATCTGGACCCGGATCCCGAGGACCACCCGGCAGAATCATTTTCCTCCACAAAAAAACAGGCTGATTTATCTGAAGAATGATTTCTTGTTATAACACAACTCTTTAAATGTAGGAAATTTCAAGGATAGGCATAGCATGGTAATTTATATAGAGAGATTCTTTGAGAGAAAATGAGAGATGGAGAAGAATGCCAATATCACAACAGGAAAGCAGCTCTGAACCTCCATCTGCACCTGCTCCTGGACCTGAGGTCTGTGCTCTGTGGGTCCTGAGCGCCCCCTGGTGGCCTGTTTCCTCCTTGCAGGGGAGGTTTGTGCCCCTGGGTTCAATCTGATTTCACCTGGCTGTGATGGTAGCAACACAGAAATACAAAGGTGTCTCCTCCAATTGCAGGCTGTTCATATGCAGATACAGCATGTTCTCGGAGTTGTCTTTGGAGATAGTGAATCGACCCTTCACAGAGTCTTTGTAGTATGTACCACCACCGCCGGTACTAATACTTGAGACCCACTCCAGGTCCTTCCCTGGAACCTGGTGGACACAGATCATGTCATAGCTTCTGAAGGGCAATCTAGAGGATGCACAGGAGAATATCAGAGACCCCTCAGGCTGCCTCAAGTCACCCCCATACTCCACTAGCTGCACCTCACTCTGGACATCTGCAGAGATATCCTTGGAGGGAAAATCATCAAACATATTCACCTTGTCTCTCACTCAACATCCAGGCACACAAACTTGTTCTTGATTTTTAAAAATCACCTGTTAAAATAGCAGAAAGGACAAACCCCTTTCAGCACAGACTCCAGGCTGTCTACCTTGTGCTCAGTCCTGATCACTGAGTGGGGACTCCTGAGAATCCAGGAGCACTTCCAGAGCTGCAGGGTTGGGGCTGCGTTGGCTTTCATCAGCAGAGGGAGGGGTGGATTTGCCTACTCTCCTACTACATAGCAATAAATGAAGTTGCATGACTTCTGAGATATGTGTGTTCTGTTCCTAGAACAGATCTGAGTGCTTTAGGTGTTTGTGAAGGGCACAAGGACAATAACCTTAGTAACATGTTTTATATGACTGTTCTATGCTGCCTTCTCCCAGCCTCCTTTCACAGTGATGCATGGCAATGACCTGCACAGCATTGGAGCTCAGCGTTCAATGAATCTGACTTTAATAGGGTCACTGGGGATGTGTATTAAAGACATCAGGGTAGGGTGCATAGTGTTTGAATGCACCACTCCATAGTATACCGACTCATAGCTGATATAAGAGGATCTAGAGACAGAATGGGGCGAGGGGCACAATGTCTGTGAGCTTTACAAATCCTTGTCCAACCCCTTGAAGCTGTACCTGGATATACATACACCTGGAGATACAGACCTGAGGCATGTTATCAGATAAAGCATTCCAAAACGTTCCCGTTTCAATTCCCGAGCTACTCACCTCAGAGAGCTGCCCCAGGAAGATGAAGAAACGGACATATTCTTGGGAACGAGTCCCATGATTCCAAGGTATGTTTTCCAGAATGAGTAAGAACTAAAATAATACATCATGAGACTCTATCTGGTGGGCTGATACTGAGAGTTACCTTTGTAATGAAGTTAAAAAAGGGTTTATCTGGGATGAGAATGTTGGCTGTTTCCCAAGAGAATACAGTCCTGTCCATGACTTCTCTATTCACCAAGGCCAAGGTCCAGTTTTTCCAGGATACAGAAAGTGATGAGGAAGATGGTTGAGGAGATAGACATGGCTCAGGATTGAAGATGACCTTAGGAATAAAAGCAGTGATCTTCTACACTCAGTGATTTATATATTTATAAGGCACTCACAGCAAATGCAAGGACATTTTAATTCAGATACACATTTTATCTTCTGCATGAGATTATGGTAACATTATTAGATATTTAGAAGTTTGAAGATAAGCAAAATCTAGCAGTCTTATTGAATTAACCCAAAGTATCTCCAATTGAATGTTTGCTATAAGTAGGAAAGATTTTTGTAAGTCACTGAAAAGGAACAGATTTTCTTCAACAACTACACTGCTATGTCTACTCAAGAGTCACTGTAGTGTAGAAAGAGTACATGACACCCTAAATCAATTTACCTCTGACATAGGAAGATATTTCTTATACATAATGTCATCATAAATAATGTTATTTATACCTAATCATATTTTTTAGCAAGTCTTATACTGAAACGTGTGAAATTGCTCATTTAAGGTTGTGTGTCACTAGATACTTGGAATCTTGCTGATACTCTACAATAAATTAGTAGCAAAGCCACCAGA